GAGCGAGAGAGAGAGAGAGAGAGAGAGAGAGAGAGAGAGAGAGAGAGAGAGAGAGAGAGAGGAGAGAGAGAGAGAGGAGAGAGGAGAGAGAGAGAGAGAGAGGAGAGAGAGAGAGAGAGAGAGGCGAGAGAGAGAGAGAGAGAGAGGAGAGGAGAGAAGAGAGAGGAGAGGAGAGAGAGAGAGAGAGAGAGAGAGAGAGGAGAGAGAGAGGGAGGAGAGGAGAGAGAGAAGAGAGAGAGAGAGAGAGAGAGAGGAAAGGAGTGTATTTATTATGGGCTGAGTGCAATGACCTGGGTCTATTTTACCTAGATTCGGTATGCCATTTTTGAGAGGACGCTGGTTTTATAAAAATAAAAAAATCCATAGACGCAAAGCACCGGTTCCAAACCATGCAAATGATATATTATTGGCATGCATTGTCTTTCATGTCTATGGAGGTTAAAACAAAAACAGCATGCCTAAAATTGTTCTCAAGCTATCCTTGGGAGTGATATAAATGGGAGAAGAAAAACGATCATGAGGATTCGTGCATTCATGCGCAAATTCTTCGTGCCCCACCCAAATTTTCTTAGAGAATGCCGTGGCCTGCACAATGAACAAAAAAGTGTTATGAGAAAATATTAAAGCAGCAGTTTGAAAATCCAAGCAGACTGAGCGGTGCTCGCATCAGTCGGGGGCTTGGAGACCCCAGCAGTTTGGGTGTTAGGAACATTCGAGGGGCACACGTCACAACATGATGTATTTGAACCCCCAAACGCCTGGGCTCTTTGGCATCAAACCAAAACATCAAAAAGTAGGAAAACTTGGCGCACCGAGCAAATGCTAAAACTAATTTTTCGCAGTTTGATGGGAAGCGTGATTTTCGGTACAGGTTAAGTTCTTTCATTAGAATCGGAGTTATCTAACCCCAATGTAGTACCTGCACCTATAAGTCTGAATCGCATGTTCAGGCTACTAACATCTCCAAATGGCAGCTGGGAACAATAGCATGACAATGATCATCATTGATCAACGACCAAAATGTTCAAGCACCACACACAAATAACGGGGATTCGAAAGCTTCTTAAGGTTTCTTGATAACACTGAGTCGCATCGCCACTAAGATGGTCTTACAGAATTTTCGGCACCTGACATTTTCTGGCGTATCTTTACCTGAATTTACCCGACCGCCAATGCTCAAATACCGCCAATGATCGTGTAAGGTTATCAAAGTATCAAAGTAAGGTTATCCGAGCCAGCGCTTTTGCACGCCTCGACACAGTTTGTTAAATTTGTGGTTCACGCATTCCAATCGTGCTCTATTAAAAGCCATCATCTGTTTAACTATAAGCAGAAAATCTTGAAAAGATCCTTAGACCTATCAGTGCCAATCACATAGCGTATATCACGACAGTGCCATGCAGCTACAAAACTTTTCACTAGGTCACTGGTCCTTCTTAAAGGGAGCGTCCCACGTTTGCATGCGGTTTTGAGCTGAAATAGCCATCTTCCAGATCACTCGATGCGTTTTACAACCCTGCCCTTCCTGAGACCTAAACCCTTTAAGTTTATGAGCTTCACGTCCGCGAAGATGTGCAGACGTTTTCGGGGAGAGTATTTCAAGGTCACCCAGGCCTTCACGACGCCATTATAACGCGTTCCGATGCGAGAACTCCGTTCGTGAGCACGATTTCCGGATGAAGCGGCCGCCCACTTGGCTCTCAATCAATGTTGCGCAAGGTACGATGACCCGGTACGATGGCATCCATCACGACGGCTCATTAAGTCAGGGTGCCTGCCTCCCGGTTCACCCACCCGTAGCGGGATGAGCTCGAGTCGTTTTAGGCGTTTGCTTTTTGTCCTTGACAGGTATGGCCTGCGGCCGGTGACGGCGACCGGGATTAAGGTTAGGTGACGTCAGAGGGCAGGATGGACCGTGGCGGCAAGTATTTCGACATGTTAAGCTTTCGCCACCCCAAGCTTGTATGCCGTTTGACATGGAATTACAACGATCGGATGGCAAGGAGCAGGGCTCACACAAGAAGCACTGCTTAGCGTGGGTTTTCATCCCAGAAGTACATGCTCGAAGCTTTCTAGTTAAATCTCCAGAAAATGACAAAATGACGTAATTCAAACAATAACGTAATGTGGAGCATAATTTACTGATCAGCGAAATTTCGTTATTCAGAGACAGTTTTTCAGTGTCTCAAGAGCTCATCATAAAGTAACAGTGAGCTTTTTCCAGCATATCTGCTGCCTGCCTCAACACCTTCAAGGGCCAGAACATTCCCTTTAAGAGAAAATGTTCAACATTTAAAAGATATGAAACAGACAGCAGATATCAGGAAACAGCCTCAGTTACTTCTTTTAATATTAATATGTATGCTTTTGAAGTGGAAAATACTTCTAGATAACGCAGCTTTCTGTTAAGTAAATATTGTTCCTCAATGGGGTTGTGTTTGATTGCGTCTCCGTACTTTGCACAACACTTCGACTGAGAGCCAATGCACGGACTGTTATATATAGAAAATCGCGTTCACGAACGCCAAATATGAATCCGCCTCGGCCATTATATTTTCTCAGCATGATTGCCGCATGGCTTATTGGAATGACAGGATTTGAACTGACGTTATCAGGCCATGAATGCCAAGGTGACTTTCAAATACTCTTCCGGGATACCATTTCCACATTTTTCGCGGGCGTGTATAGCTCAGAAAATAGAGAGGGTTGGTCATAAAAGGGCAGGATCGTGAACAGACAGAAAGGTCTTCAAGATTACTACACTCAGTTCAAAACCCCTATAAACGTGGCACACTCCCTTTAAGGGTAACATTAGATCAGCTTGTGAACAACCCCTCTGTCAGCCGCTTTTAAACTACATCAACATCTTTGTGAAGATGTGCTTCGGAGGACAAGTTATTTGAAATATCTATGTAGAGTCGGTCAAACAAACATTCCTTCATATCTATGGGACAGAATAGCTTGCTGCTAAAGAGCCCTTTAGGCATATGACATCCCCCCGCTGTCCGTCCACCTCCAGTACGTTATAGGAGTCGCTGCGCATTTGAACCAATGCCACAGATTAATTGGCTTCGTAAAGGGTATTCATGTTGAGAAACTGAACCTATCTGCA